GTCAGAAAATGCAATGATTTTATTGGATAATTTATATTTATTCAAAATCTTAATAATATAATTTGTTAAAATATCAGCAGTTTCTCCTTTTAAATTTGTTATTTCCAAAATTTTTATTTGCACGTCCTTTTTCTGGTTGAAATAGCAAATTAGAATAGATACAACTTTTAAGTTTTTATGATTTGAGGTATCTATCATAATTGTTGCAAGCTTTACAGATTTTAATTCATTACAAATTTATTGCATTGCTAAAGAAGCAAAAACGTTTAAAATAATTGATTCAGTTTTAGTACGAGAGCAAGAGAATTTTTTGTTATAAATATATTTCAAAAGGGTTGATGTGCAGTCAATTGATCTAAAAGAATAATTATCGTATAAAATTAAAATAACCCTTCCTTGGCTGCGAGATGCTTACTTTCATCAGATAATTCAACTGGGCTTTGTTTAAAAAAAAAAAATGTAACTTTATCATTACTTGACGTAGAAGATACTGCACGTAAATGTTTTTTCGCTTTGGTGATATGTTGTTTTATGTCTGCTCGGCTACCATTTTTAATTGAAAATACAGATTTACATACTGAACAAAACACTTTTCCGATTTCTTTAGCATTTCTCAAAAAAGAAAATTAATTTTTTAAACTTTGCGTAAAAACGCAACTACTTTTCGGCATTGTAAAATACGCACTGCACGCATTGCACGAGACCAAGACTTGTACTAATATCTAATTGAGATATTCGTATGTGCTTTATATCAACACATTATATTCATACGTTGAAAATACATGTATAATAAATAATATTTACAGAATAGAGGTTGAAATAGTCTATACTTAGAAAAGAAATATTAAAAATAAAATCAAAACTAAAAATAATTAACGTTCTAGTATTATGAATGCTATTAATATTTATTATATCAAGTTACAATAATGATATATTATTCTTATCGGCGATCGACATCGTCTTAATTTTGGGAAAAACAAACACCTACATTAAAAATAAATGTCTCAACATGATTTAATAGATAAAAATATCCAAAATAGTTTATTATTAACGACATTTTTATAAATTAATCGCTAAAATCACTTTTTGATAAATAAAATAGTGAAAAATAGGATTAAAACAGGACAGTCACGAAAAACAGGACTAAATGCATCCTGTTTAATTCCGATTGAAAAAATAGGACATCGAGTTGAAAAACAGGACAATCATGTTTAAAACAGGACGTAGTTACCCTAAACTACCTATACTATTATTGTGTAAACAAAACATTGACGTTTGCATATATGTACAGCGTTAAACGGTTCGATTTATTTATGTGCAAACTAATCTGCGAACCCTAAGTCGAATGAATATTACGATAAACGATAATTATTTCTTGATATTACACGTCATTACGTCACGCCTCGTACACACAATAAGCAATTAATTATTACCAAGGCTCATAACTTATAGCTCTAAAAAAGGTTGTTATAAGCGCTTAAATATGCTCTAAAAAGTATTCATGTAAGCGCTTAAATATGCACTAAAAATACTGAAATATGCAAAAAAAAAACGTTTGTATATAAAAATTATTATTTTATTATTATTATTTATTATATTATTTTATTATTTTAGCTTCTATTATTAAAAAAAAAAAAATTAAGTACTGAATTCACGAAACGAACTAGCATGCGTACAATACGAAAAATTGGAAACGACTGCAAAATGTTAATGAAAAATAATCTGTAAATAATCTGAGAATGATGGTATCGGAATATCTAGATAATGATATTGGAATACTCGAATACCTAGAAACTATAAAAATAAAATACTACAGTACAAGCTACAATTACATATATACAATTATAATGGTTTCTTTATCGATGGGATTACGAAGTTTCGGGCGTACACACTCACTACGTCACACGTCGACTAAACTCGTATATAGTTCATCTGATATTATATAAGTTATATGAGAAGAAAAATTAATTAACACGAATTAATTACTAATATGAACAATTAATATGACTATAATTACTTGTTATTTTTAAGAAAAAATGTTTTAGGCTATTAAAAAATATTTTAAAAAAATCAATGATAAAAATCATACAAAAATCCAAAAATAAGCAAAAAAAGCGAAAAAAAGTAAAATAGTACTTATCTTCGAAATATGCAGAAATATGCAACATAAAATTTCGTATCTAGCTTCTTGGTTATCTGAAACAAATTTATAGCTCACATAGGTATCTCTAGGACCTTTCAAAAAAAATATGCAAATGCTAGAAGTTATGAGCCCTGATTATTACCCTCGCAGTGGCCCATTTTCGCCTAATTCTCTTCCAAGTGTTCCATAGCCGATTAACTGTACTGATATGCATATTATTTTTATTAAATATTCCAGAATACTGAGTGTCTGAATAGGTAATCGACAAGTTACAAACTTACCGATAAGCATGAATACACGTTGACTTGTACTTTATTTCATGCGCTTAATCGTAACTTATACCATACACTGTATATTTCGAGTTTCATATACAGTAATTTGGTCCTTCATTTTTAACTATACACATTTCCTGCTAGGACCTCCACCCCATCACATTTTATTTGATACGTAGGATAAAAATGTACATATACTTTATTAAAGAACATAATATTATCTATAAATTTTAATATTCCAACATTTCTCTTAAGTTTATTTTTTTCAATGAAAAACATAAAAATTAATTTTTATTTATTTGTCAAACATTTTGGTTTTAGGGTTATTTTAAACTTATTTAACGAACGATTTAAGATAGAATAAAAATATGAATATATAAATTATTTTAGATTAAATTTTTATAAAGTACTTAATTATTAAAAATATCATTGATAGTTTTATTGTTACAATCAAATTTTTGTAAAATTTATCAAAAAATGTTTTGTTGTAATAAAACGTACTTCAATGAAATACGTATAACTTATTTTCTTCGAATTTATAAAAAAAAGAACTCATGCAATTATGAAACAGTATAAAATAAGTCATTGAAATTAATACTCATAATTCTTTTTTTTTTTTAATTTCACAGCTACATGCAGATTATATACTAGTACTACAATATTCCTGAAAAACCTATAAATTTCATAAATTATTAGATATTTACAATTCAATAGTTTATTGAATATATGTAGAAAATATTTACTTATAAGATACATTGCTTCTGATTTTCATTTTTACTACATTTTTGATTATATTCCTTCATCAACTTGACACCTCTTTTTGCTGCGTCATTAACAGTTTTTAATGACTATAATTTCTTGTATCATTTCTTTTGCTAGTGTGAACTCATCTATATCTTACCATATATTTGGGTTGTATGCCAATACCTTGCATACAGCCAGAATTTACTTTCTCTCGTTGTTTTAATAAAAATTGCGTATTTTCTTTTATTTTAATTTAATTTAAGACATCAGCATAGATAATATCAAATAAATTGTCTAATTGTTCTTAAAATAAGGTTTCAAGGTTTTACATGTTTTATTTTTCTCTAATTTTCTCTGCTCACCATAAAATGACTAAAGAAAAAAAAAATAAATTTCTTCTCCTATAAATAAGGAACACTTTAATATACATTGTACCGTATTGAATGTTTTTTTTTTTTTTTTTATTAAAACGTGGTTTAAAAATACACGTGTTTCGGCGTTTGGATTTACTGTTGTGGAATTTTGGTTATACTCGTATGTTTCTATTCGATTTAAATGGCACACATGTTTAATTACATTTACATTTACATAAATTATTCATATTAAATATGCAAAATTTATAGGTACTAATAATTGACAAGAAAAATAATAATGTAAAGAGACAACGTATTTACAGAAGTTGTTATAAATTATATTGCACAAACTATAATATCATAAGGATAATATTCATGCACATTATGAAACGGGACGATATGCATTATATTATTAATCCTTTTACATTACGAGTATGTAACTTGGATGCTATTGAAAAGCATTCATGTAAATATTTTTATACTGATTTCTTTTACGCATTCAATTATAATTTTTATTTTTCACCGTTATTTGATTGTATATTTAATACATACACTATCTATTTATTATAAAGTATGATGATAGTAGTATTTTTCACGATGACGCCATCTACTGCATTCGTTCGTTTATGCAAGTATTTTATTTTCTAATCTACACCAAATTCATAACAAGTCCATACATATATTCTAAAAAAAAATTTTAACGTAAAAGTCACGTGTTATTGAAATTTATAAATATTCAAATCGATAGCCCATGACTCGACATGTCCGAGATGACAAATGTTGCTGTAGATACAGTTATTATTACAAAGCGTCATAGTCATCAGCAATATTTTTAATAAGTTTGCAGTAGCAACAATCGATAAAACACATAACAATATATAAAGTTCTTATAGTTTTATAGCATAAACGAAATTTGTATAACATAATTTTTTCAATTATATTACATCCTATTTTAGAGATACAAACAACATTGAAAATTGATTTTTCATCTTTAAATTTAAAAACTGTAAAAGTGTAATAAAATAAAATTTTACACCTTAAATATTACAGTAAAATAGTAAAATTGTTTTTATTGATCAATATTATATTTGTATAAAATAATGTATATATAAATGAGTTGCAAAATAAAAAATAAAATATTATAAAATATAATAAACGATTAGATTTATTATGAATAATATATTATTTAAATTATTATCTTTTTAGTAAATATAACTGTAATTTATATTATTTAATTTTTGTAAACAATGATTACACAGCACATTTCACATTTGTATTTCACAAAACTAGATCAGTTTTATAAGTAAAAATAAAAAGCTATAAAACGGTTCTACGATAGAACTCCATCATAGCTTCTAACGCCTAGTACTAGAATTATTTTGACATCCCTTCTTCTTAAATGACTTAAACGTAGAACTTGAACAGGCAAAGTTGGGGGAGCTATAGAGGTTCGAGCCCCATTCATAATAAAATTAAATAATCAAAGTATATTTGTAAATCACGACTATATTATAATTATATTATATTATTATTATATAATGATAACTTATAAAACTGCCCATACTAACCCATGTCTACAAGCGCCGCCACTCCTTGCATGTTGATATAATAATAAATAATAGTTATAATCAAATATATATTAAATCATATTGTGAAAATTATTTATTTTTTCTCTCTATAGTGCATAATTAGGATCGCCAATGTTTGATAAAATGTAATTCTAATTTTCACGATTCTCACGCATCGTTCTGATTGTATCGCCCTGTGCCACCATACGCGTCGATCGTATCTAAAGCTGACCTTGGTCCTACTTAAATTGTATAATGGATACTATAGTTCATCTTATATAAAATGAGTGAAAATTGTACAATATCAACTCAATAATAGGATCGGTTTAAAAATATTTTTTGTAAAAATACTTAAACTTACATAATAGTTAAACTATAGTACTGCTTAATATTTTTAATTACTGAATATAATCATAATTCTCCAATTTAAGCTGTAAGAATATTAATATATAATAATATTGTATTTATTAATGCAGATAAATTTAATCTTTTATTGCGTGTACAGTAATTGGAAGATACCTGGTTATTACTTTTGTATTTGGACATATATTAAACATCTTTTTCTCAAGTATTTTGTCTTTGATATGCATAGAATATCGATCATGTAATTGTGGTGGCAAAACATTGTACATATCATCAACGGATTTAATGGCATCTAATAATCATACAAAATATTAAATTAAAATATATATATAACAGTAAATAAAATATAATTTTCTCAAAAATTAAATGTTGGAAATAAATATAGAATGGCTTTGAATTTGTTGAAAAAATATACACTACATTCTAATGCAGTAAATGTATGGTCTATTTTATAAAACACTATACATACTCGTATTTAGCTTTAATTTTTATAACAATAAAACAATCAATATTTAAATATGACTCGTCTAAATAATATGAAAATACAGAAGGACTATAATTTTTAATTTAAAAATGCGACAAAAAAAATACCAATCATAAAAAAAAAATAAATATGAACTCGAATATATCAAACTACATTGAATTTACCAAACACAATTTGTATCTTGTACATAATCGTACTTGTGCCTCGACTAATGTTGAATTAACTTTAAGTGCATTATAATATATTATATACTATATTATATTATAATATATAATATTTATCTAGTGGTAAAATCAAAAAATTTAATTTTTTGTAGCATTTTTAAAGTTCTGAAATATTAAAAATGAATTATTTTGATTTAAAAATTTTTTTAAACATACTTAAGAAAATCTTTATAAAATATTTCATATACTTGTATAATATTTATATAATTTTCAATCAATGATATGTTAGTTATCTACTGAACTATAACACTGTTGTAGTAAGTACCTACTTAATGAAAAAACTAATGACAATCAGAAAATTACAAATTAAAAATAAAATAATATTTTAGTACTTTATAGTTGATTCAAACTTTTTTATTTAAAACTAAAATTATTTAAATGCATTTAAAAATGTTCAATAAATACCTAAGATGGAAGTTAAATCTGGATATGTATACTTTCTTACACTTGATTCACTGTTGATGATTCGAAACCCAGCCTCAATGAACATAGTTTTTACTTCATCTTGAGAATACGAGTTGTTCGGTTGACGAGTATCCTAAAAAAAATGTGTATTAGCAAATGTGTATTAGCTTAGTAAAAAACAAAAGTAAATCAGTTTAATACATACCTACATTTTTATCACAGCAAATATAAATTAAATTAGTAAAGATTTCAATATACGAGAACGTGTTTAAGCGTTATTAGCATTATTATAAACTATTTATTCGATCGATTACAATTTTGACATAAATATTTAATGTGTAACATGATATATCAATATAACCATGATCAGATTTATGCATAGGCAATCTAGGCATGTGCCTAGAGCGCAATATCTTTGAGGAGCACTACTAACTTTTAATATATTTATACCTTTAATTATGTATAATATATTAATAAAACTAAAATGAAGAATATTTAGTTATTGTATTTTATAATATTTTTACATTACTTTAAAATATTTATATTATAGTAATTAATAGAAGCCATTGGAGTAATAATATTGTGAATGTACCTATACGTTTTAATTATTAAAATGGTTAAAATTTCTGTCGGATAAAATACATATCCGATAGCATGTTTTTTCTATGAAAACATAATATTAAATTTGATTTTCATTCCCTAGTCGATTTGGTAAAATAACTATTCAATTTTCGCAAAATTACAATTTTTTAAAACAATTCGTGATAAAATTTTTAAAATTTTACTATTGAAAATATAAAAATCTAATTCATGGTTTTAATAAAGTTATTGTTAATGGAAGATATTTGTAATAAAAAGACATCTAAAATTTGAAAAAAATCGAAAATTTCAAATACCTATAAACACAGCATAAATATTTCGAAACTATAATACCTGTGTCTTTAAAATGCTAATATATGAGCTCTTTAAATATTTCGAGTTATTACGATTAGTATTTATTGGATAACAACTAAATAATTAAAATAATTTAATGTAAATTAGATAAAATATCCGATTTCATTAAAATTTCATTTTGTAAACATTTTAACGACTTTCCAGTATTTTTATTATTTTTTTTTACTGCAAAGAAAATCCTATGAAAAATCTTATACTCAATTTTCAAACCTTAAGAATAAATAGTTTTATGAATTTTTAGCTACAAAAATGTAATGATTATTCGTAATTTTGAACGTTTTATCAAAATTTAATATTTAAACACTCAAATGTTGTTTTTATGGATTTATTTTACCAGTTACGAGACACCAATGTTATGATTCATAAGAAGGAAAAAGTGAGTATCCCCCGAATATAGCTAAACAAATAATTTCGTAAAGTATTTTTACGATGAAAAGTCTTTCTGTTTCAGACTTGTGTGTACATTTTAAGTTTTTAACATTATTATTTCCGCATAAAATCCACTTTAGATATTGCATTTTTATACTAAGGCGTCAATATCAAAGAAGTATGATTTTATTTGGTATTCTATAATGTAATGTATGACATTGTATGACCTTAAATTTTAGTTTTCTATACGCTCGGGTTGAAATATATATACATATAAATGGTTTTATATAATTCATTTTTGTTTTTATTAAATATTTAGGAAATTAGTTATGACATTTTTTTCTCGTCTTATAACTGTTGATGAATATTATATTTTACGTTTATTATTGCACTTAGGAAGTTAGATTTAGTAATTATTAATCTAAAATTTTCATATTATATTATTAACTAAAAACAATGTTAAAAATTTAAACTCTGACACATTTTTTTTTTTAAATTATAATATAATTTTTTTTATTTTACCCAAAAAATATGAATGAAAAAATGAATTATTTATATAAGTAACATAAATAACATAAATGAAAAAAATAAATGCATTTGAAAATATATTTTCGAGTCGTAAGAAAAATAATATGAAATATACTAAAACTAATATATTTATATTTTATATTATACGTAAACTGGAAAATATTACAATATATTAAGTTGGATAAATTAGAAAATAATTCAACGTATAAATAAAAAAGCATACTCACTTTCACAAAGATTTGCCATTCTGCATCTATATATTTGTAAAGTTCAACTATTGGATTAACTAACATGAAATGAAGTAAAATTTCCCCACCACTTTTCAACATTGTTTTCATATTAATCAAAGCGTCAGCTTTCTTATGAATCCAATGGAAACAAAAAAAAGAAAATATTTTATCGAAACTATTTGTATACGAAATGCACTCATTAACATTTTCAATATCCAAGACTTTGAATTCCAATTTAGGGTATCCATATGTTTTTTTCGCATGTTCGACCATTTGAATTGATCTGTCAACACCAACCTAGAATAAAATATTAATATAAATACATATTGTTCATAAAATAATGTTAAAGGTTCTTTAACAAACCATCCGTTTGATTTTATTTTTTAATAGTGGATACAGAATATTTGATGATACGTCTCCTGGTCCACATCCTACATCCAAAACTATTTCATTGGGTTTCCAAATCATTTTTTCTATAAATCTATTTGAAATATCCTCGGCATCTCTTCGTTGCAACCCATTTCCTCTAATGTACTTCTCGGGGCAATACATTTCGACTAACTGAAGATTCTATCACAAAGCATTCCTTTTTATACTTAAATGAACCCAACTATAATGGTTTTGATCAACCAGGTGACCCTCTCAAGGTAAGTAATTTCCATAACAATCCCATAACATTTTTAGAAAGTAAATGAATAACTAATCAGTATCAAGAATATACGTATAACAAGTGCATGTGGTGTACATGTGGTCCACTCCCCCTTTCGTTAATCAGATTCAAATTACTTTTGAAAAATATTTTGATTTGGTTTCAAATTCCGGTTATTTGAAACAAGTGTTTCTTAAATATATTTTAATTTTTAACCCCTGAATGCCTGTGAACATAATACCCATATTTGGTGTACAGCCGTATTAAAAGAAGAATATAAATACCAACAATTTGTTATCTAAATTAAACTCGATGCTGATGACGTTGACGATAGTGAATAATATAATGTCAATTCTTAAACTTATTATTGTAGTTTAAGATTCCATTGTATTAGTTAAATAATTGTTTGTGTTTGAAATACTTTTTGTTTACAACAGACGTTTATGACGTATTCCACATAAATTACCTTTGTGATTTTTTGATCATTGTAGTATTTATCCTGTAGCATGCAAATTTGTATTATTTTCAGTCTATAAAACTTGTATTGTGTTTTAATTTCCCAAGAATATAAATATTTGTATATTTATCTCGTATTGTTGTACTATAGAAATGCTAATCAAAACATTATAAGTAACGCGAACGGCAACAACTCGTTTCCGTACATATATTTTAGCTACTTGTAACGAAAATACCTAAAAAAAGAACACTCATTTTGCACACACGGATACTTGGTAGGTACTTCGTACCTAGTACTGGTATGCTCACGCTATAAATGCTTATAATATACTACCAAGTTTTAATTAAATATTGCAGTGTTTATTATTATTAAAAAATAGTACATTAAATTTAATTTATATGATGAAATTTATTTTCAATATTTTTATATAATTTGAGCGATTGATTGTTTTATGTTCATTTCACATATCATGTAAGTATTTTTGATTATGTCCAGTTTCCTTTCTTTTATATTCTATTACATTATTTTTTATTGAGTTTATTTTTAAATCCGTTTCATTGGGATTTGCATGAGTATATCAATTACTTGATGTGGATGTGTTATATAAAATTGGCTGTGATAATGTTTATGGACACTTACCACGTTATTCATTATCTTGGGATTACCATTTGGTTCAAATCATACAAGTAAAAAAACCTCTAAATATACTCTAAAATTTAAATATATAAAATTATACAATAAATAAATATACTAAATGTACAGTTACTTGTTACTAGGATGTATATTGGTTTTTTACTACTATAACTATGAATTAAAATTATTTTATTTTCATAATTATATTTATTAAATAAATAAGAAATGAAATAAAATTAATCAAATAAGAAAAAGTAGTGTTAATTATAATAATTATATTATTTTTTTTATTTAACGTTGGACTTGTTGTTACAACATTTAAACAACTATTTTTAAATCATCAATTTTCTACTAAATTGAATGTTACGTTAATAAAATAAAAAATTATTGAAAAACATGTAATCAATACAAGTATTTCTTTAATATTTATGTAGTCTTTAAATTCATTAAATAATGTATTAAATTATTAGGAATATAATTGAAATATTAAAAAAAAAGTTAACCAAATTAAATAGGCAATGGACAAGAAATTACTTAAAAAAATTGAAGTTTAATGTTTCTTATTTTGATATCTAAATGAGAGAACAAGTACCGTGGTTTATAGCAGTGATTTTCAATCTGGGGATCGCCAAAAATAATGAATGAAATGATTTTTTCATATTACGAGTAGGTATTTAAAAAAAAAAGAAAAAAGGAAATTGTTTATCATGTAAGCATTTTATCGGTAAATAAATCAAATTTTTATGAATAAAATAACATTTTTATTTTGAAGGGGTCGCATACAAAAAAATAAAAAATGAGGGGGGGTCGCAATCCGAAAAAGATTGAAAACCACTGGTCTATAGTTTAGGTATTCGTTTCGGCAATGTTAGCAATACCGTGTAATTACATAAAGTGGAGAATTCGTGGTTCTATTTCAAGAAACGGATATAAACGTTCATTTTACGAAACGAACAACAACGCGATATGGATACGTCATATATATTATACATGGAATAATATATATATATATATATATATATATATATATATATATATATATATTTATGGGTTGATCACATACGAAAATAATAACTTCCTAATGCAATGATGCAAGACAACCTGAGTTAAGTATTTGAATAACAATTGAGTATTTGATTATAGATATTTTACATTTCTAAATATTTAATGTACGTAATATGTGTAATACTAATATTTAAAATATATAGTATATTATCCTATGTATTTTAAATTATTTAAATTTTAAATTTTAGTTACAACAGTTTTTTCTGTATTGAATGCTAATCCAGAAATGTTTCACGGGGAATGGAACGCACAGCCATATATATATATATAGAAATAGGATATATGTATGGTAAGTTGTAGCTTTAAGAACAAAAAAAAATTTTATTACACTAAAAAGAATGAAATAATATAATATGGTATTATAAATTAATAGTATACTTTTTTTTTTTTATAATACACATTCAAGTTTTCATTATTTTTCTTTAGAAAATCTGTTGATTATATTTTTCATGTTATTTTCTCTGTCAGTATTTATATCCTTGCAGATATACATAAGAACCAACTCTGTCAATCTTTTTTATCCCATTCTTGCCCTTAACTAAATTTTAAATAGTCTTAAAGGGGAAAAACTTTTTTCTGCTGATGTGATAGATATTGGCAACATAATTAAAATGTTAAGAAATTATGTATGTACTGAATAGTAATTTTAATCTAAATGATTTAATATTTCACGAGCAAAATCTTTATTTTTAAACTTAGGATTTACTAATAAATAATTATTTTTTTTTCACAGAAAAGGGCCTACTGAGATAAGTTTGTAACTTTTGATATTTTGATATATTTATTACATATATATTTATGATTTAAGTGGTCAAAAATATTTGTAACATTTTTAGGTATTATTAAACTTTTATCGCTGACCAACAAAGAATAATAATTGAAAACAAAATTAACCGTAAAAATAAAAATCTGACTTATCTAAAAATATGTTATGAAATATTACAATTGAAAACTATGTAAAAATTTAATTTGATTTTTTTTATACTATTTGTTTGATGTTTGAAACATTCATATTTTTTTAAATGATAAAACAATTTTTGTTTGATGAAATCTTGAAAATGTAATATTACTTATATATAGGACTCAGGAGTTAAAGCATTTGCTTATTTTTATGAATTGACTTAAAATGTAGCAGAGTGCTATAGAAGCTTATGTCAAGTTATAACACGTACAATTATGATATTTGAAAGTGTTTTTTTTTTTGCTTTTTTCTGCAATTTTTTAAAAAAATGCTTATTTCCAGTTTTTTTGATTATTTTTGCTTATTTGACCAATTTTTTTTATGTTTTTATAGTTTTCTCCTGCAAAGTTGTTTTTGATCGAATTAAATTGAAAATTAATTCTTATTTTATTTACGTTGTCACGTAGTTTGTCGTCGTCCAAGGCATCGTTTTAGGGTTAACAAAAATATTCCAACGCTTAAAATAGAACTGAGTGTCAAACGTCAGAATGATCAAGAACAGAGAGAACAATTTACATTTTATTTTTCAGAAAAATCCCTTAGAAAATCCATACAATTCTTTAAGTTTTGAAAGTGAAGATTTATTTTTATTTTGTTTGATTTTTTAGTTAAAATTTTATAGTTTATTTTTTTTTATAAATATTTTTGCTTGATTTTAAATTTTTTAAATGCTCATTTTAGTGCTTATAATGATGTTTTTAAACGCTTTTTTAAGCGCTTATTTTAATGATATTAAGTGCTATAAGTCCCGAGCCCTGCTTATATATTATTCTTACTTGAATAGAAAATTATAATAAATCCTCAGTTACAATTATTTTTATAATAAGCGTTTACATTATTAAATTGGACAAAACTCAATAAAAGTTATGAAAATCTGTAATATTTAAAAGTTAAAAATATATGAAACTTTCAATATTAATATTTAAAGACATAAAAAATTAATACAAGAATTTTCACAAATTTTTCTTTGTAATGAACGAAAAAATGGTTTGCTAAAAAGTCGCAAACAATTATTGTAAACTTTAGATCACAGAGTAAAAGTGCTGAAAACGTTTCCTGACTCTTGTAAGAAATCAAAAATATGATTGTGCCGTAAAAACGTAATAATGAAAACAATCGTTTTTCGTGTTTTTCAAATAGCTTTCTAATGGTAAACTGGTTGAAGGGCAGTACGAGTTGAGTTCTGTCAATTCACTACAGTGGTCGAGTGAGTACCGTGTTCTTTAGTAGGTATTCACCGAAATTAGTGTAGATTAGACAATCGAGAAATTCTAAATCGTGGGCGTTACGCGGAAAGTTAACCGTCGAAGAAAGTAGTCGGCGAAGGTGTAAATAATGTTTCCAAAGAATATATTCAAAACTTGTAAGCGTAACAGGTGGTCGTGAGCTACGAAAAGGACCGCTAGTTCAGTGCATTCCGTTGCCGTTAACGAAAAATGCTGTGCTGAGGAGAAAAATAAATAATAAGCAAATTATTAAATGTCAACTCTTACTGGTCTGCCGCATTTACGTGCCACCTTTGACATGTCAGTACGGGGCGCGCGATCTGTTGGCATCGCATGCGTTGACGTACCGCCGCCGCCGTTGCAACCCACGCTGATGTCGTTTATCGCCCGCGGCTCTGTTATCAACCGCAACGAAGTCTAGGAGCACGAGAGCGTCTCAACCGAAACGAAAACGACGATCGACAACGAACGACGAACACGATGTGAAAAACTGACCGCGACCGAGGCCGATGACGGGAAAGATTACTATTGGGTTTTACGACCGCGCCATATCCGTGGATAGTTTTGACGTTCGGTCAGGTCGCGCAAAACCGCGCACTCTTCGCTCGAACGGCCTCGTAATTGAATAATCGTCGTCGTCGGCCTAACGGAACGCTCAAGCCCAGGCCAGTTTCAGTCTCCATGGACGCGCGACACACGCAACCGATATCGGTGGACTCCAGCAGTCGTCCAGGAACGTCGCGGCTGCAGCAACTATGAACATGGGTTTCTTGGCGATTCCCTGCACCAAAGCGGCCGCCACCATCATGCGCCGCAATTTTTGTTGCTGGAAGCGCTTCAGGGTGAGTGCAGTCCGTCGGTGTATTGGAGCAATGACGCGTCGCCCGATCTAATATACGTTTGTTTGCGTTCGCAGGTGATACTTGTATCTATTGTCGTTCTGTTTGTGCTGATCAACATCATAGTTACTCTATTGCCGGCTGGCCGTCATGGTCCGCACGTCGGTGGCAGTGGTGTCGTAGCTGGTGATCTCGGCTACAATGGCTCCAACAAATGGCCTCTGTACGCTGATGCTGCCAGGTACATATCCATTGAAGTGCTGTCCAGCAAGGATCGAGTGAGGATATGTGTAGATGATGCAACGGTAATAATGACATATTTTATAGTCTCTATCCATTGGTTACTCTGCGTAATATTTTTGACTTATACTGTGTACCAAGTGTACACTAGGTTATATTTTAAGCTTTTACAAAACTTATGATGCCTATGCAGTTCATTGTTTCATTAGCTCCTATAGTGGTCAACTAGTATTCTGTTTATACTTCCATTTTTTTTTAAAAATTCTCATTTTCCACTTGTAAGTTGACTGACTAGTTTAGTGTATTTTTTTTTTGTTCCATTTCAGTATCATATCATCACATATTTTGCCCTTGAAATTACATTTTTAAAAGTAATTAATTTTATAGCATCAATCAGTATTTAATGCAATCAATACAAATTACATTAATACTAATTCTCATACTTTTTATGTTTACCATTTATATAAATTTTAATTTTAATGACATTATATTAAATAAACTTACTAAAATTATTAAACTTTAAAAAAATATGTATTTAAACTAAATTGTATTTGTAAAATTTTAAGAAAATACTTAATAACCAGTTGAAATATGATGTATTTCTTATTTTACAATTGATAAATTACATTACATCATTAGAAAATAACTATTTAAATCTGAAGTATCCATATAATTTACTAAAGTTCATTGCATATTTATCTCCTGCATTTTTTTAATTAATTTATGATTTTATATTATTTTTCATTTTTTGTTCAAAGGTAATAGATGACAGTGGACCTTCAAACAATAGAGGTATGCATGTTGTTGTTCTGAATCAATATACTGGTATGGTTATGGCACAGCGAGTATTTGACACATACATGGATGATGAACCACTAATTGGATTTTTACAGCGTGTATCTAATGGCCGTATTATGATATTCGCCATTAAAGTTAGTATATAAATAAAAAAATTACTTATTTTATATTACAATTACTTTAAATAATTTTGTGTCAGCTTAATATTGAATATATAAATTTAAAATTATTTTATTTTATTTTATCCAATTTTTTGTTAGGATGAAGCGTCTTTCCATTTAACTAATGAAGGTAAACGTGCTATGCAAATGCATGTTGGTGGTGGTGGTGGTGGTGCTGCTGCTGCTGCTAGCAGAAGTGGGTCTGGATCTACTGCAGGAGGTTCTTTGTGGCTTTCTGAGCTTGGTTGGCGTGATATGTGGGCTATGGTTGCCAAGCATCATAATAACGACCCAGAAGAAAATAAAGAAATAGATGTAATCAATGGCCGAGTGTATGGTGAAAGTTATAGTAGAAACCCGAGAGTAGTGATGCAACATAATAGTAAAAGTGCAGCTTCATCAGATTCATGGGGCACTGATGTCTTACTACGAGTACAAGTTCCACTTGATGTAAATCATAGTCAAAATAATCAAAGTTAGTATTCAATGTATACCTACTATTAAGTATTTAATAACAATAACTTATTTAATGACTATCGAATAGATGATGATTGGTGCGATTCATGGGTAGCAGCTGTTGGTTCCGAAGATAACAATGATGACAGTGGCGATGATAATGGTTCTATCATTGATGAAGAAATAGTTATTGATTCACAACTAGCACGACGACGACGTTTCTGTAGCCGCATTGAAGGGTATGGAGATGTATGCAGTTGTATACATCCAGCTCCACTGGATTTCCATCCATCTTCAGTAAGAAAGAAATATTTTAAATATTAATGATTTTGATTATTCTATTAATGATTTTATTAAATTTAATATATTTCAATAGCAAAGTAATGCTGAGAATTTTATTAATTTTTTTGAACATGTAAAATTATGACATAAGACTTGAACATAGTTTAAGTAATCAAAATTCTTATTTATTTTATTGTCAATATGTATGATATTCATAAAGATACAATATTATTTTCAATCAATCAATAGCATTATTTTAATATATTTACTAGTATTAATGTCTGAATACCTTTAATTATAATATATAAGAATTTATTAAAATAATTAAAATTGTCTAAATTATGAATATATTAAAATGTAAGTAGTAACTGAATTTTATAATATGTTTTACTTTTTATTTTATTTTATTACTCTTCTAAATGTTTTAAGTATTTATAATACTCAATAGTATTCAATAAAAATATTCAAAATGTTTGCTTTCGTTGAATTATTTTCACAACTAACTCATAATCTATCTAAATAATGAATTTCTTAAATTCTCAAGGGCTTGTGATATGAAAATGAAGAAATCATCTGAGTTATGATGTTTTTATTGTTTATGCATTTTGTTTAAATCAGTGTTGTGACACCTTGTAATTAACTATATTGACAATTTTTTGTCAGTAGAGTAAACCAAACAAAATAAATAACTTATAATAACTTTTATATACTTATAGATACCTGATTCAAATATTGACCGAGTGCCAGTTGTCATAATAGCTGGAAACCGAGCAGACTACCTTTACAGGTATAACGTTTTAAATGTTTAAACTTACTATATTATGTAATTTTAAATAATACATACATAATTGTAGATATATTATTGTGTAAAATATTCACTACTATGATATTTTGTAATAATAGAACATTAAAATCGGTGCTAAATGCTCGAGGCGTCCAACAACATATGGTTATTGTCCACGTAGACGGTTATTACGATGAACCAGTGGAAGTCGCTCGGCTATTGGGTGTGCGAGCTGTACAACACATGCCTGCTGTAGACGATTCAGTTAATGGTGGTGGAATAAATAGTAATACTTTACGCCGCCGGCGAGTTACACAGCATTATAAATCAGCGTTAACCAGCACGTTTAGTGCTTTGTTCCCTCAAGCTGACTTTGCCATTGTATTAGAAGATGACCTCGAGGTATCTGTAGACTTTTTCAGGTATGTATTTTCTTCTTATATCTATAATACAAATTTTATTTTTTCGTTTATATTTAAATATTAATATAAAAATTAAATATTTATGTAAAGTAAAATGGTCGCATTCACTGTACATCAGATGTCATATTAGATTTTATAGATTGGGAGCCCACCTTTGGGTATTGGGTTCTGACCATGGATACAAAATGTTATGTATAAAGAATTTTAACTATAGAGATAAATAAATATGGTAGTGAGTGGCCCCTTGATGTACAATATCATAATATTTTTCAAACACTTTGGCGCCACTGCTGTGTATTATAATAAAAAATTAAATCATAATGTTTATTATAATTTAAGAAATTAGATTTTTCTAAAGAACACAGTCACTTTTTATGTGATCTACATATTAATTAAAAAATATAGATTAACCTTTTATAAACTGAGTTAAATTTATATTTTTTTCCTTATTAACTTATCAAATTAAATTTATGAGTTGTTAACTGTCAACTTTTAACTTTTTGATCTTTTGTTCTCTTAACTTAAATTGAGTTAATTATTTTCATTAACTTGCCCACCTTTGGATATATATAACAAATGGTTTAATTTTTGGATAATTTAATAATGTGAAATTATTATTGTGCTTAGTTTTTTTAGTCAAACCCTTCCATTACTGGCAGTAGATGATAATTCTATAGATTCTAACAATGATGGATCTGGTTCACTGTACTGTGTTTCTGCTTGGAATGATCAGGGATATGAACATACAGCTAGTAGACCAGACGTTCTGTACCGTGTTGATTGGATGCCAGGATTAGGATGGATGCTGAAACGATCCTTATATAAAGATCAACTAGAATCGGAATGGCCAACCGTAGAAAAGGTCAGTAGACATTTCCTGTACAGATTAATCATTATATCGCAGTGTCAATAAGTCATCATTATCTAAAAACATTTTTAAATCAAATATTTATAGTTTTAATTTATAATATATTATATAATTTTTTCATATATATTAATTTATTGTATTTAACTGAATATAAATCACACATTTAAAATATACACTATTGTAATATATTGTAAAAATAGTGCAATTATTGCACTATTTTTAATTTCCTCTTAATAGCATGATGTATATTGTCTGATATATTAAAAATCAAGAAATATACATTACCTTAAGTTATAAAGTCTAGTAATATGCTTAAAAAGTAGTCATCAAATTTATTGATATAGTTTATAATTGTGATTATTCTTATATGTAACAACTACAAGTAATGGATTTCAATAAACTTATATTGCATTATTCTTTAAAAAAAAAAAAAATTAAATAAAAATTAATTAATTATCTACTTAATAACTATTACATATTTGGTAAACATAAATATTTCTTATTTCTCAATTTAAAGTTCATCTTAATGCTATATAATAAATTCATTATCTTAAATGAAAATTCAATTAAATTTTTGTATTTATCATATTGTATAATACAATAAAATGTATGATTTAAGCTACTAAAGAATAATACTAACTAAATACTTGGATGATTGCAGCCTTGGGATTGGGACATGTGGATGCGATCAAATAAGATACAGCGTGGCCGTCAATGTGTAGTACCAGAGGTCAGCAGGACATATCATTTTGGTTCTTCTCGTGCTGTCAATGTTAACCCATACTTTCAACGCACATATTTCGATCGCCATGCATTTTATAATTATAATAATGGCATTAAGACAAGTTTTGGATCTAATAGTGGTGGAACTGGTGGGGAATATGAAGATGGTGGAGGTCTGATCCATTTTAAAAATATTGACAAGTCAGTGTATTCAAATACTTTAGTTATTCATATGATTACATTTGTTGATTAATAAAGTGTTAAATTTACATTTAGCTATTTTTTAACATCTATTAATATTTCATAATATTACTTAGGATGACAGGAGTAGCATACCTTAAGATGATAGAACATATGATCATGACCGAAGGTCAGATTGTGGATCATAATAAGTGGCCATGTCGTAAAAAACAATGGAATGAACTTGCTAAAAATGGAGGTATCAGAAATAATGATAATAGTGGAATGCAATATGTTGGAGATAAAGACTACTATCAATCAGATAGTGAATTTTTCATTATTGAAGAAATGATGAATAATGACTATGCAATGAGATCTAAAAAACTATTCCTATTATATATAAAAATGGAACATCCTACTGGTGACATTAAAGATGCAGCATCTGTTGCATGGACTCCTTTGGCAAAGGTATTACAGTACCCATTATTAAATATAAATGTTCATTAGAGTTAACACATTTTATCCATAATAAAAAAAAAAAAGATAAAATTTGTTAAATCTGATGAAGTTAAATATATTATAATACTATAGTTAAAATTATAAGTAAGATGTATCTACTGTATACTACAGAATCTGAAATTATAATCAATGTTCTAAAAAAAATTAAATATTTGGAATTATAACTATCAATCATCAAATTTCTTAAAATACATTTTTATGTATTTAAATATATAACAATATATTGTTTATTGAATATTTGTATACATTAAGCAAACGTAGGAAATACTTTTTAAATTAACTTATTAGTTATAATAATGCACAATTTATAATTATTAAAATAAAAATTCTCTTAGGCATTAGTATTATAATAATTTATATAGTTGTACTTATTAAGAACATTTTTTATAATGTACTTTGTTTAAAGTATTATCATTAGAGATTAGGAGAGCATTAGAGTTTATGACTACATATTTTTTTCGTGCAACCAAAATTATACCCTAATATGATATAAATTCGATTCATGAAATCTTGATTGCAAATATGCAAACATATTTTGCATATTTTTACATATTTGATATTTTTTAGCATATAAATTAATATATTGATTGTTTCTAGATTAAGTAGCATATATTTTATAAATTATAAATATAATATTAAAAATTGTCCATATTATTATAAATTATCAATCATTACCGTTATTCAAGTCATTTTCAGTCTACAGAAACTTATTGTTGGATCATTAATAGTTCTTAATGTTTGAAAATATCAGCAAAATTATTGTTGTAATCCTGATACTTAAAGTGCTTAACCTATGTAAAATTTAACTTTATTAAAACAGAAACTAATTAATATTTTTTTTCCATATGAGCTGTTTTTTTTTTTGTAATAAAGTAATTTTAAATACACTTTCAAAAGAGTATATACATTTTTTGAATTAATATTAACTATTTTTTTACATACATTTGTTGAAAAAATAAATATATTTAATACATTTTATGGCATATAATTGCATATTTTTATGAAATTTTGGTCATTGACAACATCTAGTTATTGACATATTTTTTTTTTTATGAATTGTAGTCTATCTATATTTATGTGTCTAAGATACTTAATGATTGTCAAGATTTTTGATCATCGGTTCAATTTGTATTCATCTATCTGAGAATAATACCATTGTAAATAAATATATACATTTTTTAATTTTTAGTGTCTTGGCATATGGGATCTTGATATCCGAGGTCATTATAAAGGCATGTGGCGGTTATATCTTAATCAGAATAATCAAGATGATGGGAGAAATGCAGAAGAAGAAGGAATCCCAGGACATAGTATAAGTGGTGCAGAATTATTCATCATTAGTTGTCCATTTTCACACTTTTGGTATGCATGTATTTAATAAAATGACATTTTTTCTCGAGTTATTACTAATGTTTTTTTTTTTTTTTTTTTAAATAGCAAATTTAAACCAGCCAATATCACAGCTATATGGTTCAATACTAATGGTGGTGGTGAAGATGATGATGGTGGAGACGATATGCTATAAAACTATTGTTACCTTGGAGAAGAAGACTTAAATAGGAAGATATTTATTAATATATACATACTCAACACATTAGAAATTATTTTGTACATAAAATAAATATAATTTTTCTTTCAGTAAAGTGAAAGATACATTCACAAGATATTATTTAAAAGTACTATGAAATCTCTATTAAAAAATAATTAACTTTAAACTCATTCAAACGAATCTAAATTAATGAGATTAATAGTAAAACATTTTTTTTTCTTATAAACATGTTTCAAAATTTAATTTGAAAAATGCACAATGTATTTCAACTAGAATTTAATATTAGCTGGTAAACTAAATGATTTCTTATGTATATTGAGTGTGAAATAGTCTTAATATTTATGTAATATATTATTAATTTTTGAAACATGCTTGCATATCATTGTATTTATTAAGTTAAAATTGTTATCATTTGTATATACATATCTTCCAAAACAAAAAAAAATATACAGTATTTTAACTCTAGTTTATATATTACATTATAGACTGCTCTCATTTATTTATAATTCTGTAGATTTCATAAGAGAAAAAAAAAGACCAAAGTCATTATTACTTAAAGTATTTATTATTTTATGTCAAATGTAATGTTATGATTAAACTGTATTATTGTGTTCAACAATATAAAGTTTATTAGGACTACATATTTTCATTTTGGTTTAATAAGTTGTATTATGTTTTATATTTTTATTTTATGTACTAGTTTATGTATTCTGATTTTTACATTAACATTGTATAAACCACACCACTATTATATTTTTATTTTGAATCTAATAAAAAAAATATATAATATGTAATAATACTATTCTGTTATCTGAAAGTCGGTTACTGATAAATGTACAGATGACATGTTACACATTAAGTATTGTATATCAAAATAATTTTACTTTTAAGAGTTTCCTGATTAACTTAAACATAGATATCAGTGTTGGATAAATTAATTTAAAAAAGTAACAATTTTCTTTACTTGTTGCTTGTTACTTAAATGTATTGAATAATTTTTCAATAAAAAAAAGTGACTATGTTACTTTCCAGTTACAGTTAAAAAAAAAAAATTCTATACATTCATCAGTTTAATCTTTTATTTATATATTTTTAAATATAATAAGGAACCAATATATTTTATATATTTTTGATGGAATGTAGGTATTTGTAAAGTGTAATACAGAGAAATTACATAACGCGTTAAAAGTAGTAGTATTACATTAACTCATTACTTCTCGTTACATTACTACCCAATACTAATAAATATAGATAAAATTGTTTCTAACATACTTTTATGCTTAACTAAAGTAAAAATTAATAATAATTATTGCAAGTTTTCTTATTTTTTATGTAAAAGTAATAATCTATCAGGCATTATATATTTGACCGAAAATCATAGTTTACCAGAACTAAAATACTGTAATATTAAAACTAAACATATTTACAAATATATATTTAATAATACTTTGTTAGAATTTAAATCTTTAAAATAAGAAAATTTGAAAGTTTCAATATGTTTATATAAACTAAAAAAACAAAAATTACAGGAAGCATTATCAGATAATATTTTTTTCTTTTTTTGTAGACAAGTTAAAATAATACTTCATGAACCTTAAATTGAATTGTCTCTGAAAGTCGCATTGTTAAAGTTACAACTGTTGGTAGCTAAACTTTACAATACTTAAATGTAATTTGCCACATTTAAAATTCTAAAATATCTGTGATATAATAATCTAAAAAAATTAGTTTAATTTTTTTATTTGTTGGACTTGACAACAAATCAACATTACAGGAAATATTTGACTAAAATTATAGGGTATAAACAGGGCTCGGAAGTTCTAGAAAATCCATATTTTTCTTGATTCATCTTAGAACATCATCCAAAGTAAGATACAAATATGTTTCTCATTACTCGTATATCATACACAAAATTTAAAAATTTAATTTGCTATTTTTTTGCATATTTATGGGTTTTATTGCTATTTTGCTAATTTAGGGTTTATAATGCTACTTTCGAGTATATTTTCACATAATTTAAGAAATAATCACATTTTGTTAATAATAATTGTATTTACTAAGTTATATTTTTAAAAAATATTTTTATTATTATAAATAAAAAGACCTTATCAAATATTATTTTATGTTTTCATCGACAATTTGATGTATTAATAATTGATGACGTCATTGTTATACCCTTATTATATCATTGCATTAGTTTATCAACATTTTAATAATCTAGTATAATTTCCAAGATAAATATATAAAATAATTTAATAATAAGTACATTTTTACAAATATATTTAAGTAATTTAACATTTTTGTTAACAGTTTATAATTCAATCAGTTTAGTCTAAGTCTAATGAGCCCAACAATTTGTAAAATTATATTTTTTTAAATTAAATGCATATATTTTGATTTTTCGTGCTATTTATAGCGCATATTTTAGAAATTTTAAATGCTTATTTAAGAGCTAAAAAAGTAACATTTTTAGTGCTACAACTTCCGAGCCTTGGTAAATAATATATATACATTTAAAAGAACAAAGATATGAAAAATGTATTATTAAATAAATTGTATGAAAAACTATATTATGAAACAGTGTGTAGAATGTTTGTAATTAGTAATGCGAAAATATATTTGAAATAGTTTTAGTCATCTCGAAATCATTAAATGTCTCGACTGGTATAAATTATATTAACAGACCCTTCAAATTGTGAACACATGATGTAGGTATGCTATAAAATAAATATTTAAAAATGGAAACCGATTATTTACAAACGAATTCGTTTAACTTCTTTCAAACAGAAAATGTACATTAACCCTAACCAAAGAAAAGAAAATTGTATTTATTTTACTTGACCAAATTAATTTCCACATTTTACAACTTTTGTTTCACACGAACTAATCAATTCAGAATCTTTTTAAAACGTTAAGAAAAAAGTAAAAGATAATAATATCATTAACATGTGTTTTGTGTTGTTAAGGATAATCTTCGGGGACTTTCAATTTCCAATTCTCTATTGTATCATTAATATTAAATAAACTCTGTAATAAATAGGATATAATTAATGTTGAATCCTTAATATAAAAAAAAAAAAAAAAAATAAAAACTGTGTAAATTCATTCCATAATTTATTTATAATTTTCGTAGTACATCACGAAATCGCTGTGCGTCGTATATACGTAAATCGTGAACCAGGAATGCAATGTACACGCACCCATGTAACTGATGAACACCTACGTGACTGTGACCGTCCACTCATGGAATCCTGATCATGGTAATTGGAACTGGCCAATATTTTTAATTGAAAACTTGTTTGAAATTATTGTTTTCAACAATTTTAACAAAAATCAGAAAATGAAAAGAGCATTCGAATCGAACAAAAAAAAATCAAGAATTAAAATTAAAAAACTAAAAAAAAAAATTAAAAAAAATATATAAAATTAATGTTTTTAAAAAATCTAAAATCTAAATCTAGTTTAATAATATACATCAGCGGTTCCCAACTGCGAGGCGCACCTTTTTCCTTTGAAGGCGAAAAAAGGGAGACAAGGCACATATTTATATTGTATACTCATATTGCACTATCATATTTTTATTTTTCGATAATAATTTACTTATATTTAATTAATAAAAATGTTTTATTGGGAGGCGTAATTCATTTTGTTTTGAGGATCCGTAATCCAAAAAAGTTTGGGAACCCCCTTATATATATTTATATGTATATATATGTACATATAGTACGCGAGATTTAAGGTGGTGGAAAAATCATAGCTACGCCCAAAAATCATTTCTAAGTACCAGGATCCCAGGTGTCATTCTCTCGTTTTAATCTCGTTTTAAAAAATCAACATCGTGTTCATTGAATTGCTAATGCAAACGGTTTTCGCGAAGAAAAACTAATAGATTAGTCAATCTCTCTACTGGAAGTGCAATCACTGAAGAATTAGACATGAATAAATTTATAATGAGCCATATTTCACTAAAAGTTAAAAAAGTCAATTTCAAATAAAATTAAGTTTGTTTTATTTTATTTTATCAATATTATTATTTTTATAACTTATACAATTTTTTAAGATTATGATTAAGGTTTAGTTATATGCTAGGTTCAAAGTGAAAAATATTTCAAAAAGCAATAAATATTTCATTACATGAATTCTTAAAATCTAAATACATGCACTTAATGAATTTATAATAAATTATATAATTTGACAAATTTGACGTTAGAATGAAGTAATATTTTAAAATATTTATTGTTACGTTCTTACCTAAGAGTAAAAACGTAATTTATGACTGTGTTATCGTTATGTTCATTAAAAAATGCAAGTGTTTATGAATATAAATTGATGTAATTTAAACAACTAACTATTTTAGTACAAGCTTCTAAGATGAAATAATATTTATAACAAATTAATAATCGACCGTACAGGAATAACATAATACCTATTATATAACATATTATGATTAAACATTATATTTAAGTCTTAAAATGATTGTATATCTTACAAAATTAGAGAGACATTTGAGAGGGGGGTTATAACCCGTTAGGTTTCGTTAGTTCGAACAGTTTAATGCGTGCAACTAATGCTTGTGAATTGTTTCATTCAAAGTTTAATAAAATGTTCTACTCTTCATATCCAAATATTTTCCAATTATTAGAAGTTTTGAAAAATGAACAACTGTAACTGACATTTATGTCAAAATACGTAGCTCAAATATGACATAAAAATTATGTAATGCAGTAAAATAGGAAGATTATATCAATGATATTATGCGTCAGTGTGGAGATAAAATTATAACACGTTTGGAGTTTGTAGGAAAATAAACTTACAAAGCCTAACCAATTTAATTTATTTATACAATAATTTTCGTACATTTTTTTTTTTTTACTTGATTATTTACACTTGATATGTATTATTATAGCACACAATGTTTTTTGTATATATTTTTTTTCTATTGAATTTAATTTTAATTAAAAGTCTGTGCGCTTAACTCAGCTCTATCACGAAAAACCCATTTGACCTGGGTAATGATTTTAACACGCATTTCGGAAACACCGCAATTTCTACACCAGAAAGAATTTTTTCAACAATTCTACGTCTTAAAACACAACAGGAATAAAATTGTTTTTATATGGTATAAATTTTTTTGGCGACTAATATTATGTTTATACGAACTGCTGATAGGTAACAATGAACCAAAGAACAATTATTCTATTAATTCTTTTATAAAATCAATGGAAATACTATGGAAGAATCTCGCTTAAATAGATTGGATTTGTTAAATATTCATCGTGAAATTGAATTCAGCCCAGAAGCTGTAATCAA